CTAAGTCAGATGGTGGCATTCCTGGGCTCAACCCTCCAATGGCTACCTTCTCACTTAGAGTCAGTGTCCAAGATCTCTTCATAACCTGTGAGATGCTAAAACATTTGGTCCCTGCCCTGCTCTGAGTCCCTTCTACACTGGCCACTTCCCTTGCTCTGTGCTAACATACTGGACTTCCCAACACTCCTCAAACACGGCAAGTGACAGCATGTGCACTATTTCCTCTGCCTGGAACAATTTTTAAAACTTGATAAGCAGTGCTTCCTCTAGAATTCCTTTAGATGTCTGTTAAATGTCACCACTACCCGCTCCCCAAAAAGGTGGTGGCTTCCATAAGTGAATAGGAGCATTTCTCCCCCATCCTCGTCGTTCCTCTATCTTCTTACTCTGTTTCTTCACAGCTCTTAATCAACAGATATTGTCAAATATTTTGTTTGGGGGTCTAAGCCCCACCCCACTAGAATGTCCCTTCCATGGCAGCATGCTTAGTATGTAAGAATGCATGTATTCCTTCATGGCAGGTACTGTTCTTGTACTGGGGAGATAGCCCTGAAGAAAAGAAGATTCCCCTGCCTTGCCAGCCACACTTCATACTTCATAGTTATATGAAAACATCTGCATTCATTCATGGTAGCCAAGGAAGCTGGTTAATGTCTAAAGTGTAAATGATACCAAGAAGGGTGCAAAGAAAATGAATAAAGAGTACAAAGGGAAACCTATTTTATTAAAACATCAAGAAATCAGGGCATGACTATTTACAATAGCCAGGACATGGAAGCAACCTAAGTGTCCATCGACACATGAATGGATAAAGAAGATGTGACACATATGTACAACAGAATGTTACTCAGCCATAAAAAGAAACAATAACTTGAGTTATTTGTAGTGAGGTGGATGGACCTAGAGTCTGTCATACAGAATGAAGTAAGTCAAAAAGAGAAAAACAAATACCTTATACTAACACATATATGTGGAATCTAAGAAAAAAAAAAGGTTCTGATAAACCTAGGGGCAAAACAGGAATGAAGACGCAGATGCAGACGTAAAGAATGGACTTGAGGACATGGGGAGGGGGAAGGGTAAGCTGGGACAAAGTTTAGAGAGTGGACATATATACACTACCAAACGTAAAATAGCTAGCTAGTGGGAAGCAGCCGCATAGCACAGGGAGAGCAGCTCTGTGCTTTGTGACCACCTAGAGGGGTGGGATAGGGAGGGTGGGAGGGAGACGCAAGAGGGAGGAGATATGGGGATATATGAATATGTATAGCCGATTCACTTTGTTATACAGCAGAAAATAACAGAACATTGTAAAGCAATTATACTCCAATAAAGATGCTTAAAAAAAAGAAAAGAAAAGAAATCAGGGCATGAATCCTCATACTTCCCACTGGCTCGGGAAGCTCAGTTTGAGGCCTGCGCAGTGCTGAGAGTTCCCAGCGATTCTCGTGAACATGAGTCAGACTCTAAGAACAGGATTAAAAAAAAGGCTCTCCCGTCTAATTCCCTTACCCTATATTCTTCGCTTTCTTGACACTCTGTTTGGTATTATTTAAACTCTGAACGTCACCAGAATTTATTTTAACTGTTATGAAGCACAGTTGTTGGAGGGAAGGGATTCATGCAATGGGGACGTGGTAAAAGGAGCATAAAGTTTGAGTCGAGAGGCCTAGAACTGCCACTCGTTAGCTCTGGAGTGAACTTGTGCAAATACTTTAATACATCTCCACGTTATAGACTTTTTAGGTAAGATGGAATGTTTTCTCCTGGCTTTGTTTGAAGCCATTGTAGAAACATCTCATCTCAATATTAGATACTTAAAAAAAAAAAAAATCCTGTGACAGAATCTAGTCCAAATGTATTACAAAAATAAAGATAATGAAATTAGGGAATTCCCTGGCAGTCCAGTGGTTAGGACTCCGGGCTTTCACTGCTGAGGGTCCATGTTCAATCCCTGGTCAGCAAACTAAGATCCTGCAAGCTAAGGTGGTGTGACCAAAAAAAAAAAAAAAAAAAAAGCTAATGAATCAAATTGAATAGATAAGCAACATCATCAGCATTGCATCTTCTCTCTTCAACACAGTAGGAAGCTCTGACACCTGTCTGGCCGTCATGGTAGGTCAGATGCCCAATAGAAAGAGGCCTTCCCTGGGCATAAGCCTCCTCTCCAATTCAGAGGAAATGTTTGAGTGGGAAACACATTTGGATTTTACATATATGAATCCGTTATCCCATATCCTCTAAACTTGAGTAAGAATTCAGAAGTAAATAATTAAATTTCACACACATCCATCAAACTGCACAAGTAAAGTATTTGTTTCTATTTAAATAACTAGGAAAGTAAAACATATGAGGACCTTAATGTGAAATTACTTAGAGAGGCAAAGATTTGGGCAAAAGATGACTCCTCCCCACTGGTATAGTCCCTTGGTGCTTAATTAACCTTTCTGTCCTTGCGTTTTCTGCAACCTTATGGGTATCAGAGATATTTATGCCTTTGCCCATTTTCCTGAGCAGATGATGGGTCATTAGAGATCTATCTCATATGTCACTCACCATAAAGCCTCGCTCAATTGACCATAACACTTTGCAGACCCTAAGCTTTCAGGGAAATTTGCTAAGGCATTAAGGATTCTTTTGTCCTTTGATGATTCTGGTAAGCTACGGTTACGCAGTTAAAGAATTTTATGTTCTATTTTCTGTCTTGCCCCAGGAAATCCAGAGTTTTAGTAGAAATGGAGTCAGAGCCTCTAACCTGTCTATAGCCCAACAAATAATTAAATCCGTGGTTTCCCAACTAGTCTGCACCTTGGAACATTGTGGGGAACTCTAAAAGTACTGCTGCCTATGACCCATCCTGAAAGATGGGGATTTAACTGTTCTGGCGTCTGGGGATTTAAATTTGTAGGCTTTGGAATTTTTAAAAGATCCTCACATGATCTTAATATGCAAACAAGCTTGAGGAACGTTCATTGAAAGACTTCTATGAGATTAATTGAGGGTAGATTTTTGCTGGTTTGTGTTTACGGGCATTTTGTGCCAGAAAAAACCTAAAGTAGCTTTGTAAAGATGATAAGATTTGATAAGGATGTGTGATTTTTGTGTAAATATTTTTTTTTTTTTTTTTTTTTGCGGTACACGGGCCTCTCACTGCTGTGGCCTCTCCCGTTGCGGAGCACAGGCTCCGGACGCGCAGGCTCAGCGGCCATGGCTCACGGGCCCAGCCGCTCCGCGGCATGTGGGATCTTCCCGGACCAGGTCACGAACCCGTGTCCCCTGCATCGACAGGCGGACTCTCAACCACTGCGCCACCAGGGAAGCCCTGTGTAAATCTTTAACTAAAGGTAGTATAAATTTTTAAAACCAAGGCAGGTTGCTAACATCTTCCTAATTTTTAACATCATAATAAAAATGTATACAATGTGATAGTCTGACTGCAATTTTATTTTGTTCTAAGAAAATTAATTTTTGAAGGCAATTTAAAATGAAGCTTTTTAATACATTAAAACTTTATATTAAGGTAAGGTGAGACTTTTAGACAATTTCTATTTGTTTATCCATTTGTTAAGCATTTTCTTACTTTTCTTTCCTCCCCTTTCTTTTTCTCTCTCTCCCCTGTGGACGTTCCTGCTTCCAGCAAGGGTTACACTGATGTTGTGAGGATCCCGGAAGGCGCAACTCACATAAAAGTCCGACAGTTCAAAGCCAAAGATCAGACTAGATTCACTGCCTACTTAGCCCTGAAGAAGAAAAACGGTGAGTACCTTATCAATGGAAAGTACATGATCTCCACTTCGGAAACCATCATTGACATCAATGGAACAGTCATGAACTACAGTGGTTGGAGCCACAGGGATGACTTCTTGCATGGGATGGGCTACTCAGCCACGAAGGAAATTCTAATCGTACAGATTCTTGCAACAGACCCAACTAAAGCCTTAGATGTCCGTTACAGTTTTTTTGTTCCCAAGAAGTCCACTCCAAAAGCAAACTCTGTCACTAGCGACAGCAGCAATAAAGTGGGATCACCCACTCCACAGCTGCAGTGGGTGACGGGCCCTTGGCTCGCCTGTTCTAGAACCTGTGACACGGGCTGGCACACCAGGACGGTGCAGTGCCAGGATGGAAACCGGAAGTTAGCGAAGGGATGTCTTCTCTCTCAGAGGCCTTCTGCATTTAAGCAATGTTTGCTAAAGAAATGTTAGCCTGTGGTTATGATCTTCTGCAGAGGCAACTGGATGATTCATCACTGACACAGTCGTGGTGAACACGAGGTCATCCGAAAGCATGGAAAGTCACACTTCAGGGTCATTGTCAACAGGAGTCCTATTATGGGCAGAATCTGCTCTCAGCGACCAAATAAAGATGCACACTGCTTCATGGGACAGTGGTGACCTTGGAATATAGAAAAACTTGGGAGTTATTGAACATCCCCTGGGCCTACGAGAATACAAAAACACTGATGAATGTAGAATCAGGGGACATTTGAAGATGGCAGAGCAGTCTCCCCCTTGTCACCTACCTCTTACAGAATGTCTACAAAGGCATCATAATCATTTTCGTGCATATTATTTACACAGTAGCTTATTTTTACTGTTTGTAAATACATTCTTCCTTGGTATGTCACTTTATATCACTTGGTTCTATTAATATATATATATATATATATATATATATATTTCTATAAAAAAGTGTTTGACCAAAGTAGGTCTGCAGCTGTTTCCACTCCTTCCAGTTTCTAGAAAGAGCTGTGGACGTTTTACTGGAAATTAAGAACTTGCTGCTGTTTTAAGAAAGATTTAGTATATGTTCAGACTACAGGAGATAAAATTTTCATCAAAAACCGTTTTGACAGCAAGAATCTTCTGAGAAATTCTGAAAAGAAAAAAGAAGCTCAATGTATCTAGTCATTTAAATACATACAGGGGTCCATTTATTTAAGCCTTTGACTGCCTGTATTTTTTCAGGCAGCCAGCCAAACTAATGCATAATTAGGAGGTAGAAGAAATGTTTGTGTGTGTGTGTATGTTATCGAGTCTAAAAATTAGTTTCCTCCTGTTAGAATTTAAAAAGAAAACAAATACATGCTTCACCATATTTTCAAGTTATATTTTCACAACTGCTTTCTCTTTCTATGGTTCCCATCTGATATCTCACAATGTGTAATATACATTCAGAACACACAGCAAAGAGTTTTCTATCACCTTCAACACTGGTATACCTCTTACCAGCGAGCCTTTAAAATGCATTTTGTTTTTGCTTGTTTGTTTTGTTCAAGGGTTCTGTAGGACCTACAATGTTTTGTACTTCTTGTTGACTCGGTAGTTAGCCATATCTAGAAGTGGTTATCATTAATGTGGCTAGTGAAAAAAAATGGTTAATATTAATAATACTGTTTCCACACCATAGGCAATAATTCCTTGCATTGTTTTTTTTCTTAATCCAAGTATACTTATACTGTACTTAAGGTTTTTCCCAATTAGAAAGCATTTGGTTGTACCAGTAAGTGTTTGAGTGATGAAATGTGATGGTCTTTGCAAAGTCTGCTCTTATTTCCATAGCCTGTCTAGGTAGGTTGTGAGTTAGAATAGTTAGACATGGAAAACTTTTACAGTCATCTGCATAAAAATCTCATAGACAGTAAACTGCATCCCTCTACCCCATAGCTCAGAAAACCTAAGATATTTCATTTCATTTGGTTTTTCTTTTTCTTTGTGAAATATCACAAAGCTGCTTGTTTTTATAAAAATTTTATAATAATCATACCAAATGTGCCTATTTTTAAAGATTTGCATATAAGAATATTAGGGAACTATTGTTTGAGTTTCCTTAAGCTCATGAGAGTTTATTTTTATTATAAAATATTTTTAATATAAAAGGATTATGTAATTGATCTTGCTATATAGCACATTCATTTCAATAGACCAGGGGAATGGATGTCTCACTGTTTTAAGTATTTTCTTAAGAAATCATTAAGAAATCAAAGCTGTTAATCATCCTTTGGATTTTCATAGACTGACTTTGCTTTAGATGTGGTCCTTTTTTCTTAATAAATTACCAGTTAGAAAAAGGAGGCCTATACAAGACTGGTAACCTCCATTTGATGAAGGTACCAGATATCAGGGACAGGGAGCAAAGCTATTCATATCAGTCAGAAAAACAAATTAAAAATAAAAATCACCCCGACCATCGACTATGCAGAGAGAATTAAGAGAAGGACCAACTTTACTTTTTCCAGTATTCAGAATAACTTGAATCAAGTACTTAAACTCTGACAATTTTTTTTTTTATCTTTTGTGGTTATATTGACAGCAACATTAAAAAATAATTGAAGAGCAAACATGATTGTCTCCTACTCTGCTTCTCCATACTGTATTCATAGATTTTTAAATATGATTTAACCAGTGATTCATTTTTTTCCCCAAATATTAAAGTTTTACACTTCTCATGGGAGCAATCCTAGAGAGCTTAGAACAAATAAACCACTATTCCATGCTTTTAAGGAGTTTCCTTTAGGGTTTTTTGTTTGGTTTGGTTTGGTATGGGTATCAATAGACTGACTAAGGAATGTATGTCTAAACTCCTGAGAAAATTTATAGACTGGAAACTGAAATTCAGAGAAATGGAGTGTTTGGTAGACAGAGAATGATGAGCAAAGGGAAAATCCTCTGTAATGAAGATAATTTAGTTCAGTTTCACATTGGGTTATGCCTTTTACCTTTCCATAGTTACATCTTGAATACAGCATAGGATTCAGGATGCTAGGGGCTACTTCCTAAAAAGAAAAAAAAAAAAAAAAGAGCTTGTCTAAAGATGCTCAGGTTGGTAAGAATCTAATCTCACTCACAAAACTAAATACTCCAGGTTGTTTCATTAAATACTAAGGGAGCCCAGAAGAAAATAGTAACTCTTCTGGAACAGAAAAAAGTCAACCGAAGCCCTACCTTATTGTTTAGAGCTTTAAGGACATTGTTTTAATTTATTCAGCAAATTCAACTTCCTCTGCCTTCCTGTGGAAACAGTTTTAGCACATTAAGAATGAAGGGATTAATCACAAACAAAAAAAGTTGCAGCACTGAAAAAAAAAGTAATTTATTGTTTTTGCAACTGGTATGTGAATTTGTGTGATAAAATTATTTATTCTTATTTAACAAAAATATGTGCAAATTCTTCTATATTTAAGATGTTTTGCTGTTGTCCTACTTTTTAATTTATGCTTCATGTTTGTGTATAAAGTACACTTTGTGAGTTTACATAATATACAGCACTGGTTGCTTTTGTATTTTTTTTTTTACAGAAAGCTTTCTGTGTGAAACAGGTGTATATGTATATATTCCTCATGTATTCTTATTCTGATACTATCCCTTTTCTTTCTAAGTAAGTTTTAAATTTAATCTTCCATGGCTAGTTGTAGTTATTTTAATAGATCTTTTGGATTCCATTTAATACTAATTTTTCCAAGCTTCAGATAAGAAAAGCATTTATTCAAGCAACTAAGGTCTAAGTTTTAAACTAGGGTATATAGGTAGCCTGGAAGCTTCCCATAGAAGCTAAGACACAATTCAAAATCAGGTCCATGAGCTTCACTGATGAACTTGGACAAGGAGCTGTTGATACATCACAGCCTCCAAGTGATATCAATGATAATAAACCAAATAATGTCTTTTGCTGCTCTAGAAACCCTCCTTAAAATTAGTATCATTCAGTCTCTAGTATCTTTAAGATTCTATAGATGAGAGTAAACAAAGTGGATTTAAATGATTCAAATGTTTGTAGTCATAACTGTTTCACCAAGTTTGGGATCTCCATTGATACAATATGACTTTTTACTACTACAAATTAATCTCTTGGAGGGATAATAGGACTTGGGACAAGCAGGGACACCTCTGAGCACACCAGCTTGCTCCTGACTATGATTTCACAGTCTGGCCATAGCAATAAGGCAAAGCACCTTTGGATACACAATTGACTAGATCAGTCTCTGGTTCTGATGTTTCTCCCCTTTACTCCTTCCTCATTGGACAAGGTCATTGTAATGGTTTAGGTGAGGACAGCGGCCAGAGTCAAAGAAGTTCAGGACTTGTGCTATAACTTAGAGTTCACTGTTTGTGAAATAAGATTGAATTTAATAATGGCTGGATTTTGCTAATAGTTTGTGGCTGAGTATGAAATCTCATTGGTATGATTGGTGACTATTAGTAATCTATTAGTAGTTAAACTTGAAGCCATAAAAACACCTTATTTTTTTTTAACATTTCAAAGGTACAAAGTAAATGAATGACCTTGAAGACAGAAATGGCCATCCAAAGCTATAATAGAACCAAGTACAGGGTCAAGGTGATCTATCATATAGACACACAGAAAAGGAATTTACATGTTTTCTCTATTATTTTTCTCATTTGTCAACAACATGTAGTTTTAGGTTGTCAAACAGGTAGATCAACTTAGCTCAATAGCCCACTGAAAAATACAATCTTTCTAATAGCTCCCTGTTATCATGAACTACAGAAATGACTGCTCAAGTTATAACACATGAAACACATCAGTCTATACCACATAATTTTGTGTTCTATTCAATTAATGTATGAGAACATATTGAAACACCAACCCATGCATTAGAAAATGAGAATATACTTAGTGTTTAGATCAGAAAAGCTTTCAACCTGGCAAATATTTTTCCAGTGCCATTATATCATAATTTTTAATGCAGATTTTGTAGAAAAGATAAAGGAATCTGTTGTTAGAAAACGCTGGTTTTAAAATGGAGTACAACTGAAACATACACATTCATTAACCCTGTTAGTTGCACCCTCTTAATATTCTAGCACTAAGAGTAAGTTTGCTGTCTGTGGTCCTTATCTCATAGCTCCACTGGCTGATCCATGTGTACTGCCATAGGTCAAATGAAAAAAAATAAATAATGGCCCATCATCCTATAAGGCACTGCCACATCAGAGTGACCCAAGTCTAACACTGTGAGGAAAACTGTGATTTATAAATAAAACAGGGCATTTTTTCTTTTACTTTTCCTTTGGCACATCCAATGAACAATTGTAATCTTTATCAAGGTGCTAACATTTTCAGTGACCAACTGCCAAATGTGGTATTTCTGAGTTACTATTTCATTCTACATGATTTTTCAATTTGCAAGAAGGAACTCTAAGCAGTTTGTCAAGCTTGGGCACAACTTGATACTCAAAGTTTG